AAAAATTATTTTTAAAAAATCCACGCCTATGATAGATCCTAAAAAATTACTAAGTACTATATTAATGCGTAAGCACCTGTAAATATTTAAATATAATTCCCACATCCGAGTACATACGTATCAATTTAAATGCTAACCACTCTTCTTGGATATACTGTCGACTTCTTGGGTCTAGTCCTTCAGGAGTAAATATCCATAGAATAGAAATTTTGTAATTGTTCACACAAAAGTCGGGATCCATTTCACCCGCTAAATATTGACCAATCCTTATCAAAACAGACATGCTTATTCTTTAGCCCTATCCCCTTCACCATGCAAAAATTCGGTGTTTGGGCCATAATTGCGGCCTGTGTAGCCTCCAGAAAAAGCGACAAAAATTAAGTATTTGGTCCATATCATCCCCTATTAACCGATCTTTTCCAAAAACAATAGTGGTCTTCATTGGGCGGAACACATCCTACATGCAAAATTTCGTGAAGATTGGCCCATAACTGTGGCCTGTTTCGTTTTTACAAATTATAATGGACAGACAGACGGAGGGACACACATGTCTAGATCGACTCAGCTAGTCGAGATATGACGATCGGTATACTTAAAGGTGGGTCTAGGACCAATATTTCGTGGTGTTACAAACTCTTGGGGCTGCTCAAAGCTATAATACCCTGACAACATTGTTGTGTAGGGTATAAAAATCCAAGCCTATGATGAAGGTTCGAAAAATATATATATTAAAATCCACACCTATATTGGCTATATGCATAAATGATTTAACTAAATCCCGGTACACCATTTCCCTATGTTAAATTTCTCACACCATTGTACAAAAAAATCTTCCTGTTTTGTAAACTCCAATAAAAACTGATACCAAACATTTTTTTTTTGCCAACATTTGATAGGCGTTTATAACACCGATGTCTATCTAAGCTCTCATATGTTTCATCTCGAGATTTATGGGTGAGATGCCAACAAAGCAAAAACAACAACATCAAATCATCCACACAAAATGTTCAACGCACAACGTAACAATGCGGTAGCAAACGTTTTTATATTCCACCAAACGACTTTTCCACAGCCATTCCCAGTCAGCTATGGGATGGGATGGGATTCACCTGTTTGTTTGATTTATTTTTGATGATGGCACCGACTGGGCGAGTGGGATGTTATTTTGCTGCCATTGTTGCTAGTGGTGGTTGTTTGGGTTACAGCCGGTGCTGTTAATGTCTCCGCTGCTGCCATAGATTGGTGTTAGCCAACTCATTCGAGTTGTTGCTGTTGTCGTTTGGGTTACCATCGCCTTGTCCACAGGCCAAGCTATAGTGCCAAATGCCAAACCCATTACAGAAAAAAATTCAAGTTGGTCTACATCGTCTCTTCTCCCTCTCACCGTCATGGGAGTCACAGCCAGTCACTGAGGCATTAATTATGCCTACCTTGCGATGGATCAAACAACGGTGTTGAAGTTTTCTGTTTGCTGATGCCTTTGCTTTTGTTGACTTTATTCATTATTGCCATTAGTTTTTTTTTGTGTTTTGTTCAGTTTTATTTGTTTTTGTTGCTTTTGTTTGATTTGCTTGATTTCATCCAGTTGCATACGCTGCGATTCCAAACCACTCACACATTGTTTGTTTTTGTTGTTGTTATTGTTTTTGCTGGCTTGCGTGCATGTGTAATATTTCCTAACAAGTTTCCATTTCAAATTTGGGTTCATTTTTTGTTTTTTTTTTTTATAATTTTTTTATTTTGGATTTTAGATTGGTTGTCCAATTTTGTAATTATCTACAATCGATTCTGTTGCGACATCTGTCGAGCAAAATAAAATACGACAAGATTGGTCACCGATTATGACGCTAATATTTCACTTGGCACACATCATTTGCCTGTGGGAAATGGAACGAGTTCAAAAAAAAAATGCACACAAAATCTGAATAATTTTTATTGCAAGACCCTACATAATCGAAATATGTTTATGGACCCAAACTAGTATGGCTAATAACAAATGGATGCAATTTTGAAACAAAATTTGTATACCCCTCACCACACTGTGGTACAGGGTATTATGTCTTTGTGCATATGTTTGTAACAGGCAAAAGGAAACGAGATAAACACATGGTTCCTTTTGAGAATATGCATAGAATCACTTTCTGAGCCGATTTACGCATGTCCGTCCGTCTATGTATTTTTGTGTGTTTTATGATCTGAATTGGATGAAATTTGGCATAGGACACTTATTTGGCCCAAGGACGAACCCTATTGAAATTGGGAAAAATCGGTTCAGATTTAAATATAGCTCCCATATATATTTTCGTTCGATTTAATGTAAATGGTGCGCCAAAGTTCCTAAATATAGTTCGATTTGCACAAAATTTGACACAGCGTAGTGAATTTGGTCTAGAACGATGTGTGTTAAGCTTCGTGAACATCGGTTCAGATTTAGATATAGCTCCCGTATATATTTTCATCCGATTTAATTAATGATGTGTGTTAAGTTTCCTAAAAATCGGTTCAGATTTAGATATAGCTCCCATATATACATTTTCGTCCGATTTAATGTAAATGGTCCACCAAAGTCCCTACATATCTTTCGATTTGCATGAAATTAGAACCAGAATTATGTGTGCCAAGTTTCAAGAAAAACGGGTCAGATTTACATATAGCTCCCATATATATTTTCGTCCCATTAAATGTAAATGGAACACCAAAGTCCCTACATATCTTTCGATTTGCACAAAATTTAGCACAACGTACTGAATTAGGTCTAGAACGATGTGTGTTAAGTTTCGTGAACATCGGTTCAGATTTAGATATAGCTCCCATATATATTTTCGTCCTATTTAAGGTAAATTGTGTACCAAAGTCCCTATATATCCCTCTATTGGCACGAAATTTGCACAGCGTAATGAATTAGGTCTAGAATGACATAACACTTAACACAGTTTCCTGAAATCGGTTTAGATATAGATATAGCTTCTATATCCGACCAAATGAAAAATTTAGTATCGGTTGCAGAATGAAATGTTTATGGATCCAATTTCATTTTACTGGTCCTTTAAAAATGCGACGTCTGTTAGGATTCATCTGTTGAATATACCCAAAGTGGTGAAGGGTATTACATATTCGGCTCCGTCCGACTTTACTACTTTCCTTACTGGTTTAACAACGATGGAATTTTTTATACTCTACACAACTATGTTGTCAGGGTATTATAGCTTTGTGCAGCCCCAAGAGTTTGTAACGCCGCAAAATATTGGTCCTAGACCCACCTTTAAGTATACCGATCATCATATCTCGACTAGCTGAGTCGATCTAGACATTTGTGTCCATCCGTCCGTCTGTCCATTATAATTTGTAAAAACGCTACAGGCCATAGTTATGGAGCAATCTTCACGAAATTTTGCATGTAGGATGGGTTCGGCCCAATGAAGACAACTATTGTTTTTGGTAAACATCGGGTAATATTTAGGGAATGAAATGGACCAAATACTTAATTTTTGTTTTTCTGATCGTTCCAGAGGGCGCAAAAATGGCCCGAACATCGCGAAATTTTACGAAATTTGCAATCGGGCCAAAGAATAAGCCTGCATCTTTTCATAAAGATCGGTCAATATTTAGCGGGTCAAATGGAATCTGACTTATGTGTGGAAATTACAAAAATTATATTCTATGGCGTATTTATTTACTCCTGGAGGACATAGACCCAAGAAGTTCATAGTATATCCAAGAGGAGTGGTTGATCTTTAAATTTATACCAACTATATTGTCATATGTACTCGGATGTGGGAGTTACACTTAAATATTTATAGGTGCATACGTACTCAGATATGATTTAGTAACCCATTGTCACACTATAGGGCGGAAATATAACGCTGATCGCTTTGAAATGTTCCATGCGGATCCAGGTATGGTCAAGGACAACGCCTATAATTTTTTGTGATGATCTGATAATAATATTGGGATGAAGTGGACCGAAAACTTAATTATACCCTACACAACTATGCTGTCAGGGTATTATTGCATTGTGTAGCCCAAAAAGTTTGTAACGCCGCGAAATATTGGTCCTAGGCCCACCTTTAAGTATACCGATCGTCATAAACACGATATGGACCAATCTTCAAGAAATTTTGCATGTAGGATGGGTTCTGGCCAATGAAGACCCTTATTGTACGGCTAATATTTAGGGGATAAAATGGACAAAAACGTCATTTTTGTCGGTTTTTCTGGTCGCTCTAGAGGCCGCAATTATAGTCCGAATATTGCGGAATTTTACATGGAGAATTGGATCGAGCCAAAGACTAAGCATGCCTATTTTGATAAAGATCGGTAAATATTTAACGGGTCAAATGGACCCTGACTCGAATGTGGGAGTTACACTTAAATATTTACAGGTGCTTACGTACTCAGTTATGCTTTAGTAAGCCATTGTCACACTAGAGGGCGGAAATATAGCGCTGATCGCTTTTAAATTTTTCATGAGGTTCCACTTATGTTCAAGGTCAGTGCCTATAACTTTCGGTGATGATCAGATAATAATTTTGGGATGAAGTGCACCGAATACTTAATTTTTTTGTGTTTTTTCGCGTCGATGCCAATAATAGGCCGAACATCACAACACAAGCCACGGTGAAGGGAATTTGTACAATTAATTAGAAGGGCTGTACTGAATATGAATAGTAATATTCGGGAAAAAATATATCAGTGTAAGGAAGAGGTGCTGTTGACCTCTAGTCGGGCTGAAGAGAGCAAATATCACGAAATATTGCCCAGGCTCGGAATAAACATCCGCAGAATGTTCCGTGGTATTTGTGTAGGGTATCGTATGGTCGGCGCTGTCCGACTAAACTGCTACGCACACTGGGTTTTAAATGTTTTTTTATTGAAGCAGAACTGTTTTTTTCGATGGTATTTAAAAAATGTTTTTAAACATTTTTTGGATCATTTGAAAAAAAAAGATTTATTTTCATTCAATTAATTTAATTTTGAATTTTCTTTTTTTTCAATTCCAGTATGGCGTCTTTATGATTTTATTGTTGATAGCTGAAATTGTTGCCGGTGGCTTGGCAGCTTTCTACAAAGAAACGGTGAGTTTATATTTAAAAAAAAAGTGTATTTAAAAAAATACCAAAATAATATTTCCTTTCTCTTCCTCTCAGGCACGCAATGAAAGCAAAGCTTTCCTACAATCGACCATTACCAAATTCTATACCAGCTCGGAGCATACCGATGCCGTGACCCTGATGTGGAATCAAATGATGACAACATTCGGCTGCTGTGGTGTGGTGGACTATCGTGATTTCGAACAATCCCCCTCATGGTTAACCAGCAAGGGTAATCGTACCATTCCGGAGGCTTGCTGCCGATTGAAGGATATCAAAAATTTGATACCCGAAGATGATTTCTGTGTGACAAATCCCAGTGAAGCGAATAGTTTCTTCAAGAAGGTGAGTGAAGTGTAGTGTAGGATTACTACTCCACAAACCCAAAATGGGTTGGGGGTGGCAGAGATTTGTCCTTTTTCACTTCCCTTTCATTGTGTTTTATTTTTTTATTAATCACTTCCTTTTTTCGTTCATTTGTTTAGGGTTGCTACGAAGCTTTCACCGACTGGATCATCACTCATCGTGAAATTATTATTGGCGTGTTGGCGGGTGTGGGTATTGTCCACCTTGTCACCATATTCTTGGCCTTCTGTCTATGCAAATCCTTTGCCAAATATCATGGCATGAGACTGTAAATTAGAAAACAAAAAAACACCTAAAAATCTCTGCCTTTAATTTCTAAAATACTTTGATACTAAAATCTTTTTGTTTTTAATATTTTTTACATATTTTTTATTGTTTACCTAAAACAAAATGTAAAAAGGACCATTTTGCAAAGTCAATTAATAATTATTATTTAATGTACCTTTTTTCTATTGAGCCAAGAAAAAGGTATTCCATTCCAAAAAAAAAATCTTGACAAATTGAAATCAAAGAAGAAAACAAAATTGTTATTTATTTTAAGTAAAAAATGAAATGTAATAATGAATTATTTTTTTTCGCCCAATGTGTTTTGACAACATCAAAGGGGAAAATGACAAAAAAACCCCACCCCTCCTCTTTAATAACCCATTATAATGCCAAGCTTAAAAAAGACAAGACAATATCTCTTTTTGTTTGGGATAATCACAATCCTGTCCTCCCACCCAAAAACAAAAATAAAAGAGAATTCGTTTTAATTAATTTACCCTTTTTTCGTTAAGTTTATTCTTATTATTTTTTGTTTATATATTTTATTTTATTGTATTTTTTTTTTATTTTGCAAATATATTAGTCTTTAGTTCTATATTTTTTTAAATATATAAGACATTCGTTTTGTATTATATTGAAAAACAACAACAATTACGAGACAAAAAAAAAATTCCACTTAAAACATCACATTAATTTTAAAATTTGTTTTTAACATTTTTGTCATAAACAACATATGTGTACATAATATACATATGTATATATACCTAAGTATAGTTTATTGTATAACTATTATTATTTTTTTTTTTTGCTTAATGGATTTAATAAAAAAATATTTTATATTAAATTTAAAATTTTTTTATATGTTAAAAAATTATATTTTATGGATTAAATACATTTAATATTAAAGAAAACAACATAAAAATGTTATATCAAATTTAAATATAATTTGTTACACAAAATTAAAATAAAAAAAATTACATATCTAAAATAAAATGTCTAAGTGTTTAAATTAATAAAAAATTATATTCAATTTTTTCCCCAACTAGAAACAATTCAATATATTTTTGTTATTGTTTTTTAGATTTTTTTTATTTTTATTCTTTTTCCAAAAATTGTTATTATAGCAAAAAAATCTGAATTAAAACAATTTATTTTATTTATATTTTAAATAATAAAATATAAAATAAAACAAATAATCAAAACCAAAAAAATCGATTAATTAAAGTTTTTCTTGTAATTCTTTGAATTTTTAATAATAAAAATTCAAATTATATTAATACCCTACAGAACTATGTTGTTAGGCTTTTATAGCTTTGTGCAGCTCCAAGAGTTTGTAACGACGCGAAATATTGGTCCTAGACCCACCTTTAAGTATGCCGATCGTCATATCTCGACTAGCTGATTCGATCTAGACATGTGTCCGTACGTCCGGTCACAAATTTGGTCACTTTAGGTTTTAGTTGATTTGACCCTCGGAATATTTAAGTATTTGGTCACATTCCCCTCACCGTCCAAAAAATATCTGACGTTCTTCATATAATAATGACATCTAGATGGCCTCCTTGACCACAGCCGGAACTTCTTGTAAAATTTCAAAGAGATCAGCGCAACATTTTGACCGTCTAGTGGATAATAATAATACTAAATTTTCTCGGGCCTATGTCCCAGTAAACAAAATTTGTCATTTTTCACGTAAAAGTCTGGCCCGTTAAATATAGACCGATCTTCATCAATACAGGCATGTTTATTCGTTGACCAGAAGAATCCTGATTATGAGGACATAATTGTAACCAGAAAAACTGACAAAAAATATCATCCCCTAAATATTAACGGATCCTTACCAAAAACAATAGGGGTCCTATTTGACCAGATCCCATCCTACATGCAAAATTTCGTGACGATTGGTCCGTAGCTGTATCATATTTACAAAGTATAATTGACGGACGGACGGCACACATGTACAGATCGAATCAGCTGACGATCCGTATACTTAAAGGTAAGACTATGGCCAATATTTCGCGGCGTTAAAAATTCTCGGAGCTGTGCAAAACTATAATACTCCGACCCAATATTAAAATTGTACCCAATTTAGTATTCATATCCAAAACTACTACTACCTACACAACCCTTAATTTCAACAGTAACCTTATTTCCAAATTTCAGTGTTCCAGCTCTATCGATTCACCCAAATACATATTTGGTACCATTTAGTACACATTAGTACAAATTTCCCAAACTTCCTACACCACAACAATGATCCTAATTCCAAATTTCAGGATCCCAGCTTTATCAAATCACCCAAAATCCAAATTGTACCAAATATAGTACCACTTATTACTTATCGTACACATTAGTACGAATTTCCAAAACTTCCTACATAACCCAATTCTACACCCCAACAATGATCATAATTCCAAATTTCAGGATCCCAGCTTTATCGGATCACCCAAAATCCAAACGGTAACAAATATAGTACCATTTAGTACTTATCGTACACATAAGTACAAAGTTCCAAAATTAACTACATATCTCAGATCCTAATTTCAGCATTCCCCCTGCATCCGTTTCTCCAAATTCAAATAGTACCAAATTTAGTACCGTTTAGTACTTTTCGTGTACATGAGTACACATGTTCAAAAACTTCTCCTTATATCGACCCCACTTCTCAACCATTATTCGAATTTCAAATTGCAAGCTTATAGCTCTTATATTCGTGCACATGCTACAAAATTGTACCAAATTTCGTACGTTTTAGTACTTTTCGGAATTAGAGTTCGAATGTCCTAAAACCGTTTGCCACATCTATTCTACACTCCATCAGTCACCGTCATTTCAAATTTAAGAGATCTTGCTCAAACGCTTAGCCAAATACAAAAGGTACCCCATTAAGTACTTTTCGTGCCGTTCCAGTACGAATTTCCAAAAACCCAGCCTTATCTGACACCTTTGGACCGAGGGTGACCCTCACCCCAAATTACAAGATTCTAGCTTCAGTCGTTTCGTCTGGACATTAAGCCATAAGTCAACAACTAGACCTGCGTCCGTAGTATACTCACTAAGTCATATCTTCCCCATAAAAAAAATTCTCCACTCTCCCAAAATCTTGTTGCCCAGTGTAATCTGACATTAACCCGTTTTATGCATAGTGTATGCAGATATCAATTCCATATCAATATCAGTAGTTTGGTATAAGATAACCCCCCAATTGTTGCCCAGTATTAGTGTTCGCATACAATCTGCAATTTCAGATTATACAGCGTATAATCAGTACAACTTGGCCATCTGTGGTCATCGGGCGATGTTCACTATTCGCTTTCTCGAAGAACGTTTCTGTAAATAAAAATCAAACAAAAATAACAAAATGTTTCCAAAACTTCTAGTGTTGGTGCTGATATTATTTGCATTCACAAATCATCATGTTCTCGGTGAAGTGAAATGTTAGTGTGGAATTTATACATCCGAATTGAATTTAAAAAAAAAAATAATTTTGGATACTTTCAGATTTCCGCCATGAATTGCCACCCTTATATTCGTTCGATAATTATGAAGCATGTTTTGAAAATCGTACTACCGAACTTGTCGGCTCCACCTATTGTATGATCTATGCGGAAATTCAAGCAGATCACTCAAATGATGTATGGCAAAAAATCGAACGGCATAATACGTTCGTATATAATTATCGAAATGATCGGCTGTTTTATGGTCTATGTCTAAGTCGGTGCTTGGAGTTTGACAGTCCACAGCTCAGCGAGGGAAATTTAACCATAAGTAATGATGTAGGGGGCGTTATAAAGTTTTAATTGAAATCGATACTAAATTTATTTTCAATTCTAAAGATCAGCGATTTTTTCGAAAGCGTCCACAAACGACCATTGGACCGGGACATGCGTTCCAATTATTCTCAAATGATTTGGCAATGTTTAAATCGAGAATTCCATAGGAAATATCAATTGGAATTGAAGACATTTGTGGAATATTGTGAGCGTAGGCCAGAGAATGCCGTCACTAGGGCGGAAAATGGTGAGTGAAATAAATATTTTGGTTTGTATTGAAATTTTCAATGATGAGTTGGCTAAAAAAAATATTTAAAAAATCCACGCCTTGAAAAAATATTTAAAAAATCCACGCCTTGAAAAAAATATTTAAAAAAATCCACGCCTTTAAAAAAAAATATTTAAAAAATCCACACCTTGAAAAAAATATTTAAAAAAATCCACGCCTTGAAAAAAATATTTACAAAATCCACACCTTGAAAAAAATATTTAAAAAAATCCACGCCTTGAAAAAAATATTTAAAAAATCCACGCCTTGAAAAAAATATTTAAAAAATCCACGCCTTGAAAAAAATATTTAAAAAATCCACGCCTTGAAAAAAATATTTAAAAAATCCACGCCTGGAAAAAAATATTTAGAAAATCCACGCCTTGAAAAAAAATATTTAAAAAATCCACGCCTTGAAAAGAAATATTTAAAAAATCCACGCCTTGAAAAGAAATATTTAAAAAATCCACGCCTTGAAAAAAATATTTACAAAATCCACGCCTTGAAAAAAATATTTAAAAAATCCACGCCTTGAAAAAAATATTTAAAAAATCCACGCCTTGAAAAAAAATATTTAAAAAATCCACGCCTTGAAAAAAAATATTTAAAAAATCCACGCCTTGAAAAAAATATTTAAAAAATCCACGCCTTGAAAAAAATATTTAAAAAATCCACGCCTTGAAAAAAATATTTAAAAAATCCACGCCTTGAAAAAAATATTTAAAAAATCCACGCCTTGAAAAAAATATTTAAAAAATCCACGCCTTGAAAAAAATATTTAAAAAATCCACGCCTTGAAAAAAATATTTAAAAAATCCACACCTTGAAAAAAATATTTAAAAAATCCACGCCTTGAAAAAAATATTTAAAAAATCCACACCTTGAATAAAATATGTAAAAAATCCACGCCTTGAAAAAAATATGTAAAAAATCCACGCCTTGAAAAAAATATTTAAAAATCCACACCTTGAAAAAAATATTTAAAAAATCCACGCCTTGAAAAAAATATTTAAAAAATCCTCGCCTTGAAAAAAATATTTAAAAAATCCACGCCTTGAAAAAAATATTAAAAAAAATCCACGCTTTGAAAAAAATATTTAAAAAATCCACGCCTTAAAAAAATATTTAAAAAATCCACGCCTTGAAAAAAATATTTAAAAAAATCCACGCCTTGAAAAAAATATTTACAAAATCCACACCTTGAAAAAAATATTTAAAAACTCCACGCCTTCAAAAAATATTTTCAAAAAACCACGCCTTGAAAAAAAATATTTTCAAAACACCACGCTTTAAAAAGATATTTTTAAAACACCACGCTTTGAAAAAAAAATGTTTTCAAAACAACACGCTTTGAAAAAAATATTTTCAAAAAACCACGCCTTGAAAAAAAAATATTTTGAAAAAACCGCGCCTTGAAAAAATATTTTAAAAACCCATGCCTTGAAAAAAATATTTTAAAAAATCCACGCATTAAAAAATAATACAAAAAAAATAAAATCCACTTAATAAAAAACAAAAAAAATAATTATTAAAAAATTCAAGCCTTGGAAAAAATAGTAAATTTCGACTGACTTATTTTCGAATGTCTTTATTTTCAGATATATTGAAAAGTCGCTTATATATGTTTTTCAAAGTACTTCTGCTTTTGGTTGTAAGCTCCACATTTACGGATTATTATTTGAAATCCCGACAGCCAAAGGAGAAACAAACAAATGCATTCTTTGAAAATAATTTAGAAGAACCTGGTAAGAAGATTATTTTTCTTAAAACATTTTTTGTATTTCTTTTAATGTTTTTTTTATTTTGTACCCCGCAAGCGTGTCGCCTCTTAACCTCATTTTCGATTAGTCGCAACTATTACCGTTTAACCCAACCCTATCGCGGCGAAGTTGGTCAAAAATTTGCCTTTTTAGATGGTTTACGTGCGGTCAGCACAATACTTGTACTCGGCACCCATTCCTACTTCTTAGCCTATGAACCTATTGAAAATCCCCAATTTTTTGAAAATTTCGGTAAATCCACCATTGGGCTAATGCCACTGAATTGTACCGTTATCATTGAAATATTTATGACGATGAGTGGTCTGTTGTTGTATTTGAAATGTTCGCAGGGTTCCTTTGTAACACCGCAGACAAGTTGGTCGAAATGTTTGCAAATTTATTTGCTGCTGATGATCAGTCGTTATGTGAGGTGAGGTTATTCGAAAAAAATATTTATTTTGTTTTTGTTGGTTTACAAATTCTGATATTTTTCTTTCATTATAGATTTCTTCCCACCCTTATTGCCCTGCTAGGTGTAAATGCATCACTTCTCAAAGATTTGGGTGACGGTCCATTTTGGCGACATATTACCGAACCAGGTGGCACATTTAGTCGTGAGAATTGGTGGAAAAATTTATTAATGATAAATAATTTTTCGCCAATTGATACGGTAAAGAACTTTTTTCTGAATTGTTTTTAGATTTTTTTAAATATATATTTTTTTCAATTTTTATTGAAGGCTAATCCGCATACCTGGTATTTGGCAGCAGATTTTCAATTATTTGCATTTTACACACTTTTATTAATTATAATATTCAAGTAAGTAAAGAAATACATATTTCTAAAAGGTAGTATTTACAAAAATATTCAAAATATGCACGTCTGATAAAAATAATAATAAAATCGGAGGAAAGTATATATGAGAGCTATACCGAAATCTTAATCGATTTCCACGAATCTTACCACTCATCATTCCTGACTGAATTCACAATCGGAGAAAAATATCTATGGGAGCTATATCTAAAACTGAAGCGATTTCAACAAAACTTAGCAAATATCATTTTAGATTCAATTCAGCACGCCGTGCCAAATTTCGTGCAAATCGAGGGATATATAGGGTCTTTGGTGTACCATTTACCTTAAATCGGACGAAAATATATATGGGAGCTATATCTAAATCTGAACCGATTTTCAAGAAACTTGGCACACATCATTCTAGGCTTAATTCAGTGCGCTGCGCCAAATTTCGTGCAAATCGAAAGATATATAGAGGCTTTGGTGCACCATTTACCTTAAATCGGACGAAAATATATATGGGAGCAATATCTAAATCTGAAACGATTTTCACGAAACTTGGCACACATCATTCTATACTCAATTCAGTACGCTATGCCATATTTCGTGCAAATCGAAAGCTATATAGGAACTTTGGTCCACAATTTACCTTAAATCGGACGAAAATATATATGGAAGCTATATCTAAATCTGAACCGATTTTCACGAAACTTAGCACACATCATTCTAGGCTTAATTCAGTGCGCTGCGCCAAATTTCGTGCAAATCGAAAGATATATAGGGACATTGGTGCACCATTTACATTAAATCGGACAAAAATATATATCGGAGCTATATCTAAACCTGAACCGATTTTCACGAAACTTAGTACACATCATTCTTGTCTTAATTAAGTACACTGTGCCAAATTTCGTGCAAATCGAGTGATAAATAGGAACTTTTGTGCACCATTTACCTTAAATCGGACGAAAATATATATGGGAGCTATATCTAAATCTGAACCGATTTTTAAGAAACTTAGCACACATCTTTCTAGGCTGAATTCAGTACCTTATGTCAAATTTCGTACAAATCGAAAGATATATAGGGACTTTGGTGCACAATTTACCTTAAATCTGACTAAAATATATATGGAAGCTATATCTAAATCTGAAACGATTTTCACGAAACTTAGCACACATCATTCTAGGCTTAATTCAGTACGTTAAGCCAAATTTCGTGCAAATCGATAGATATATAGAGGCTTTGGTGCACCATTTGCCTTAAAACGGAAGAAATTATATATGGGAGCTATATCTAAATCTGAACCGATTTTTCCCAATTTCAATAGGGTTTGTCCTTGGGCCAAATAAATGGACTGTGGCAAATAATGAACTGTGCCGGACGGGGCCGACCATATGATACCCTACACAACTACAACGGAACTCTAACTAAATTTTTATTCCGAGCCTGGTCAATATTTCGTGATAGTTGCACCCTCTTGCCCGATTAGAGGTCAACAGCACCTTTTCCTTACACTGACATATATTCCGAGTATTACTAATATTCTGTACAGTCATTCTAATTACATGTCCAGATTTCCTTCTCCTGGGTTGTGTTGTGATGTTCGGCTTTCAATTGTGGCCTATAGATCGACACGAAAAAATATTATATTTTCGGTCCACTTCATCCCAAAATTATTATCTGATCATCACCGAAAAATATAGGCGTTGTGCTTGACCATAACTTGGACCTCATGGAACATTGCAAAGCGATCATCGCTATATTTCCGCCCTCCAGTGTGATAATGGGTTACTTAATAATATCTGAATACGTAAGCACCTGTAAATATGTAAGTGTAACTCCCACATCCGAGCACATACGACAATATAATCAGTATCAATTTAAAGGTCAACCACTCCTCTTGGATATTATGTCAACTTCTCGGGTCTATCTCCTTCAGGAGTAAATATATACGCCATAGAATACAAATTTTGTCATTTTTCACACAAAATTCAGGGTCCATTTGACCTGCTTATTCTTTGGCCCGATCCCCTTCTCCATGTAAAAATTCATGAAGATTGGTCCATAACTTTGGCCTGTATCGTGTTTACAAAATATAATGGACAGACGGACGGACACACATGTCCAGATCGACTCAGCTAGTCGAGATATAACGATCGGTATACTTAAAGGTGGGTCTAGGGCAAAGATATAATATCCTGACAACATAGTTGTGTAGGGTATAAAAATGTGAAATATCCATGTATTGCAAAAATATTTATAATATTGAAGATCGGTAGTCGCCTTTAAAATACTATTTGAAGTCTCTATATTTCCATCTTTTTTTGCAGATATCCTCAATATAAAAAACATATTCTGATTGGCATGAGTATTTTGACCGTGGCCATACCGACGACCATAAGCTATATTTTCCAATTGGAATCTTCATTTATGGCAAGACCGGAGTAAGTACCAGACCCATGACAATTTTAATATATTTCATTTTTTTTTCTTGTTTATTTTTTCTAGGACATATCGTTATGGCTATGTCAAGGACTTCAAATTATTCACCCACACCTATACCCCGTTCTACACCAATCTGGGTGGTTATCTTTTCGGCATTGTGTGTGGTGAAATATATCAGAAATATATTTGCCACACAGAAAAACGAAAAATATTCTCATATTTATGGATAATTGTTCCGCTGGCCGCATGGTTTATTAATTATGCGGGAGCAATTGCAATAATGAGCAAAGCCTCAATATGGACGGCCTTATATACGGGTCTGAATCGTAATTTATGGATTGTATTTGTGTGCGGCATACCAATATTGGCTATGGCATTCAATGAGGAATGTGAGTTTTTTTTTTTTTTGAGAAAATTGAAAAGGAAATACATTTTTAAAATTTTGAAAAATTTGATCTTACTCTTCAGCTTTGGTTAGTCGCTTTTGCCGTTTGCCAATGTTTCGAGTATTAGCCCGCCTCTCACCGCAAATGTATTTGTGGCATTGTTTGGTACTCTACGTAACATCGGCCTATCATCGTCAGCCTCAATTTGTCAATTTGATACATTTGGTAGGTTATTCATTTTTGAGGATTTGAATATATATATTTTTTTAATAAATTCTAAATTTTGTTTTCGTTTAGATTAACCAGGGTACGATTACAACAACGCTTTCGACAGTGGTGGCATTTTTCGGTTATTTGTTTTTGGAAATACCATTCTCAGAGATCTGCAAAGTATTATTGATGGGCAATAAAGGTAGAACTCACGCAAAAACAAAAATATTTTTATATTTTAATAAATTTAAAAAAAATGTATTTTTATTTTTTCAGAGAACCGTGAGACGCAGAAGCAAAAGATCAAATAAATTTTAGTATTCAAATTTAATTGCAAAAAAATAAAAAAAATATTTTATATTCAAATGTGGATGTTTAAATATTTCCATTTCTTTTTAAACCTTGACACATGGAACATTTTCAAAACACCAAAATTGATTTTAGAAATTGTAAATTTTCAATATTTTTTATCATAAACATAACCGTTTCCATTGGCGGCAGCAGCAGCCACTGCTACACTGGTACCTTGAAAAATATTCTCGGATAATGGTTTGAAAACATAAATGCCTTGCTTTCCTCCAGCTCCCAAGTTCTGATGGCGATAACGATCCAAATAAATGGCCCTCAGTGGGACAATGCCATAGTAACGTTGATAGGAAATACCACCAAAATTTTGTAATAATTGTTGCTGTTGTTGTTGTTGTTGTTGATAATAATTATTATAATTCAAGGTAGTACGATGATCGGGTCGTGTCAGAGGCGGAAAGAATTTCACTTCGTGAGAACCTAAATCATTATTGATATTGGCTGGTGATAGGTCATTGGTCTCAGTGGCCGTTAGATCTCCACTCAAATCATCTGCCAACGTGGACATATCATTGTTGGTCACAGGTAAGTAGGCCCGACTAACTTCACAGGAGACGAGGGCAATGAATCTGGCGACAATAACAAATTTTAGAAAATTCTGAAAAGATAATAGAAATTAATTAATTAAAATTTTAAGGGTGTTTACAAATTTGTTTACCATTTTTCAATTGTTGCTTTATTGTTTCTATTTGAAATGAGGTCTTGCTATTGCTGCTGCCTTTGGCGTCATCATCACTTTTATACTCTCCGATCTCGACTTAGCGGATGAAGCCAAAATGTGGGAATAAATATTGCAAAGTATTTGGTGACACACAGGAAATCGTAGAGATATTCTATCAATGAATTATGTTTAACAGTTGCTTGCGGATTTTTTTAAAGCTTGCGGATTTTTTTAAATGTTTTTGGCATTGATTATTATACCCTACACAACAATGTCGTCAGGGTATTATAGCTTTGTGCAGCCCCAAGAGTTTGTAACGCCGCGAAATATTGGTCATATCTCGACTAGCTAAGTCGATCTAGACATGTGTGTCAGTCCGTTTTAATTTGTAAACACGATACAGGCCACAGTTATGATCCAATCTTCACGAAATTTTGCATGTAGGATTGGTTCTGGCCAATGAAGACCCCTATTGGTAAAGATCGGTTAATATTTAGGGGATGAAATGGACCATGACATCGACATAATGGGTCGAACATTGAGAGCGGTAACAGCCACTTTTAAACAAATTGAGAAGGGTCTGGGTCTGGCAGTAAACGGCGAGAATACCAAGCTGATGGTATCAACGCACAAGACGTCCAGTAGACTCGGGCCAACTGTGGAACTTGAGAACTACAGCTTTGAGGTAGTCAAAGATTTTATATACCTTGGTACCGCCATAAACAAAATGGATGACATCAGTTTTGAAATTCGCAGAGGCATAGTGATGGCCAACCGATGCTATTATGGTCTGAGCAAACAACTCAAAAGCAAGGCCACCTCCCGCCAGAACAAACTCACACTCTACAAGACGCTGATACTACCCGTGCTGTTATACGGAAGCATGGGTACTTACGTAAGCAGATGAGGCAGCTCTTGGAGTGTTTGAGAGAAAAATTCTTCGAAATATATATGGGCCGATTTGCGTTGACGGTGAATATCGCCGTCGAATGAACCATGAGTTGTACCAACTATTATCGGACATCGGCATTGTTAGACGTATTGAGCTGCAGCGACTACGTTGGCTAGGTCATGTTGTGAGAATGGTTGAAGATGCCCCAGCCTCAGAAGGCATACAAAAGCGAACCAGCTAATGGTTCACGCAGAAGGGGAAGGCCAAGAATACGTTGGAAAGATCAAGTCGAAGAAAACATCACCGAAAATGGTCTTTCAAATTGGAAAAACTGGGCAAAAGACCGACGTGCCTGGAAATCTTTTCTAAACTCGGCTTATGGAACGAAAGTTCTGTCACAAGCCAGCAAAGTAAAGTAATTAAGTAATAGACCAAAAACTTTATTTTTGTCTGATTTTCTGGTGCCTCCAGAGGCCGCAATTATGGCCCAAACATCGCGATTTTTTACATGGAGAATGGGATCGGGCCAAAGAATCAGCATGCCTGTTTTGATAAAGATCGCTCAATATTTACCGAGTCAAATGACCCCCGACTTTTGTGTGAAAAATTACAGATTTTACCCCTGAAGGATATAGACCCGAGAAGTTGATAGTATATCCAAGGGAAGTGGTTGACCTTTAAATTGATACCAATTATGTTGTCGTATGTACTCGAATGTGGGAGTTACACTTAAATATTTACAGGTGCTTACGTATTCATATAGTATCTAGTAATCTATTACCACACTAGAGGGTTGAAATATAGCGCTGATCGCTTTGAAAAATTCCACGAGGTTCCAGTTATGGTCAAGGACAACGCCTATAATTTTCTGTGATGATCAGATAATAATTTTGGGATGAATTGGACCGAAAAATTATTTTTTCGATTAGATCTATAGGGCACAATTATAAGCCGAACATGGACAAGTAGAAAGACTGTACTAAATATTAGTAATATTCGGAAAAATATGTCAATGTACACATTGCTACACATTCCCATAACTTTCTACATAGACCAATCCTATACCCTAACAGTAACCCTATTTCCAAATTTCAGGACTCCAGCTGTATTGGTTCACCCAAAATTTAAATTGTACAAAATTTAGTACACATTAGTACGAACTTCCTACACTCCAACAGTGATTCTATTATCAAACTTCAAGATTCCAGCTTTATCGGTTCACCCAAATCCAAACTTTCTACATAGCTCAATACTACATACCAACACAGACCGTAACTCCAAAATTCAAATTGTACCAAATTTAGTACAATTTAGTACCCATAAGCATGAATTTCCAGAACTACACCCCAACCCCAATCCTACACTCTAATAGTAACCTTATTTCCAGCTCAATTGGTTCATTTAAAAGTTAAATTGTACCAAATTTAGTACACATTAGTACGAATTTCCATTTATGATTTTTTCAACTACTGCATCAATAGATGATGCTGCGGTCGCTAAATTGCCAGGTCGTTAAGGAAATTTAAATCGGTATATATCTATATTAATAAAAGAGTAAGTAAATGGGTCGATTATACAGCCATAACATTGAAGAAACGGGGTGTGAACCATTTTAACAGATCACCCTTTATTATAAAAAAAAATCAATGATTTGAAAGGGTTGTTTGTTTGTAGGACTATTCATCGTTAAATTATAGCCCGAACACGAACTATATGTAAACTGTGTTAAAAACAGTGTTTCCAAAAATATAATAGCTAAAAGATCACCCTTTATAAACGAAAAATTATGGAATGGCAATGTGTAATAAAACTTCAGAATTTCCTCTAACCATATCTGAAAACTTTATAAAAATCGGTTTAGTAGTTGCCGAGATATTTGTATTTCAATTCAAGGATGGTTCAAAATACACATCCTGCTCGATTCTGGTCGCCTATTACCTGAAAATGAAAAACCACACAAAAATTGATCTTTTAAAAAAGGCAAAAATTTGTTTTCTGTTGTATTGAAATTATAGCATACTTGTAGGGGCAAAGGGCAGTTCGAGGTGCAATTTCTTGTTGCTTGATATGTAGGTGTGATTGTATGCCATTTATGCACTTTATGCTGCAATGTAAAATATATTTACTTACACATATACACACTGCAGCCGGTATGAAGAAAAAATTTAAATTTTTGCAAGATCGATTTTTGTGGTGTTTTTCATTTTTTGGTAATAGGCGCCCAGCATCGGACAGAAAGTATATTTCGGAACAGAGTAGAATTGAAATTCGAATAACTCCGGAAATACTTAACCGATTTTTATGAATTTTGCACCAAGGGCATTATCATATTTATTACACCTATAAAGGTGATTTTTTTAACTATTATCTTTTTGGCAACACTGTTTTTAATAGTTTTCACAAATCTCGTGTTTTGTTCTTCTGTCATACCTCTTCAGTTTGGTCCAAAATTTAATGATGAATCGTCATACAAACGATCAACGCTTTCAAATTATTGAATTTTAGCAACTAAAATGTGTACTTTGTTAAGAAAGTTCATTGGGCGTTTCTTCAATTTTATGGCTATATAATCGATCCATTGAAGCAATGATTTTTTTACGCCATTTCATATAGATATATACCGATTTCAATTTTCTTTACTACCATACAATTTGGCGAACGAAGCGCCATATATTGATGCCGTAACTGGAAATTTCATAAATGTAGAATTTAATGTCCTGGTTTTTGTCTCATAACTTTGGAACTACTGGAGGTATTGTAATAAAATTGATGCCATATGAAAGGTAAGAAGTCTGACTATTTCGTGGCCTACTCAAATACAATTTGCCGATTCTATGTCCTTTTATTTGGGTTAATAATAGAGCTAGTTACAGGCAATGAAATGTATTTCTAAAGCAAAATATTTTGCTGTTACCGATCATTCCTTTCAATAGATGGCGTTCATGTAGGGTCTTGTATGGTGATGGGCAACGTCTTACGTTTTACAGACACCAATAGATGGCGCGGACGATGGGTTTATAAAAATTTGCATACCTTATATCATTTTGATATAACTTTTTTCGTATTGCAGACATTAAAATAAAAGTGGTGTCATGTGGAAGGTATAACGCACCAGAAGGAAGGAACCGATATTCAAGAAAGGAAGAAATATTATAATTTAGCCTCTCTGAAATTTGTACTAAATCTAGTGCCGTTTAGTACTTTTCGTGCACAAAAAAATACGAATTTCCAAAGATGTCTCTATAGCTCCATCTTCAATAGTAATCATAGTTCCAAATTTCAAAATTCAGGCTCTATCCTTTCAAGCAAAATCCAAATTTTACAAAATTTAGTACCCTATAGTAGCAATATGTACGAATTTCCTAAACTACCTCAATTCTACACTCTAACAGTAATTTGTTGACATAAATTCAACTTGCATTAAATTTAGTACCATTTAGTATTTTCGTACACATAAGTACGATTTTTCAAAAATGTATGAATAAAATTCACGTTTGTGGTTGTTCCTCAAAATCCAAACCTTTCATGGTTTAATTCACACCTTTCGACTCTAGTGGTCCCTAAAATAAATATATGAAAACCAGCAAGGAAAGTAGTAAAGTCGGACTGGGCCGACTATATAATACCCTTCACCACTTTATGTATATTGTACATATGTATCCTAACAATTCCATGTCAATGTTCCCTTGAAGGAACGAACACCTTTCTGCAACCTATGTTAAATTTAATTTAAATCGGGCAGATTTAGACTCATTTGCGAAAGATATATGGGGACTTTACCTTAAATCGGACGGAAATATATATGTGAGCTACCTAAATCTGACCCGATTTTCTCGAAACTTAACACACATCATTCTAGGCTTAATTCAGTACGATATGCCAAAATACATAGGGACTTTGGTGAACCAATTACATAAAATCGGACGAAAATATATATGTGAGCTATATCTAAATCTGACCCGATTTTCTCGAAACTTAACACACATCATTCTGGACCTAATTATTTATTATAATTATATGCCAAATTTCGTGCAAATCCTATGATATATGGGGGCTTTGGTGCCCCATTTACCTTAAATCGGACGATAATATATATGTGAGCTATATCTAAATATGTCCCGATTTTCTCTAAACTTAACACACATCATTCTGCGCTTATAGGGACTTTGGTGAACATAAAATCGGACGAAAATATATATGGGAGCTATATCTATAGCTGCACCGATTTTCTCGAAACTTAACACACATCATTCTAGGCTTAATTCACTACGATATGCCAAATTTCATGCAAATCGAAAGATTTATAGGGACTTTTGTACACTATTTACATAAAATCGGACGAAAATATATATGGGAGCTATATTTATAGCTGAACCGATTTTCACGAAACTTAGCACACATCATTCTCGACTCAATTCAGTACGCTATGCCAAATTTCGTTCAATTCAATAGATATAAAGGGACTTTGGTGCCTATATCGGACGAAAATATATATGGAAGCTATATATAAATCTGAACCGATTTTCACCAATTTCAATAGGGTTCGTCCTTGGACCAAATAAGTGACATGTACCAAATTTCATCAAAAATCAAAAATGCGACCTGTACTTTGTTTACAATTTAACATCTACAGACGGACGGACGGACATGCATAAATCGACTCAGAAAGTGATTCTATGCATATTCTCAAAGGGAACCATGTGTCTATCTCGTTTCCTTTTGCCTGTTACAAATATATGCACAAAGGCATAATACCCTGTACCCCTTAAAATAGTATTTTTGAAATAAATAGATTTTTAGAAATACGTTTAAGAATGCTTTGTGTATGGATCGATAATACATATAACAAACCTATCTGAAATAAAAACATTTTTATATAAAATACATTTAATTTTTGTTTTTTATTTCTTTTTTGTAAATATAACCTTAGCGAATAAAATTAAAAATTATATATATTTAATTTTCTCTTCAGTAGGAATAGTATATTTAATGTTATCATTTTGTATATGCGCATATATGCATATACGCCCAAGTAAGAATGTGTGTGTAAGTGTATGTAATAGTTTCAATTTATCTGTATGTATGCGTAAATTGTGTTCTCAATATTTAATATTATACCAATTAGATATTTTTTTTCGTCTCTTTCTAAGCTACAAGAAAATTGGCAATATTTGTTTTCAATTTGTCTGTTCTTGTTTGGTTGTGGATAAAGATCATCATTAAATTAATTAGATTAACATTTGCAAAGAGTTAACTCAGTAATTTTAGTTGATATAGGATTTAAATTTATTATTATTGTTGTTGTTAATTTATTATTATCAGTAAACTTGCATGGGTTTTATGTTTTGCTTGTAGGAAATAAATTACGATAATATTTGCTTGTTGTTTTAAACGCGATACCAAACATAAAATTAAAATATATTAGTTTTTAGTATTTTTTTCTTGTTTTTGTTGTTGTATAATTTAGTCAGACTAACAACAAAACCACATTCACATAGTGTTCCATAATAGTAATTATAATAATAATAATATTAATAATAATAAATATAATATATTGTTTTGTATAAAAAATTAAAGTTTTATATTAAATACCATAAATATAAATGTCTGTGTTTTGGAGTATAAATTAAATTACATTAGAAAAAAATTAAAAATAATAAATAAAAAAAGTTATTATGTCTTTTGCTTGTTTTTAAATAATACTTGTAGGAATCTTGAGGAGTAGAAACAGAAGAAAAAAATACAGAAATAATAACAAACAAAATAGTAGTCCAACTATTTTCACAGTTTTGAAAACAAAAAGTTATGCAAGAAAAAAAATTTCTAATTTTCTTATAGAAAATTATTGGAATATATAAATACAAGGGGAAAAAATAAATATCAATATATTTAGACTCGTCCTGTCAAATTTTGGGCGGTTGTGTTTGGCAAAAGCCCCCATCACTGAGTTCATTTGTTGTTGTTGCTATTTATCACACCCATCAATCGTTTGTGGCCGATTTACCCAATAATGGTACCGTCAAATCCACCATATTTGGATAGACCAAATATTTGTTCACAGCCTCACACAATTTACCCTCAATGACATTGGTGACAATCGACCAGTCCACCGATTTATCACCCACAGTGGGTCGTGCGGTTAGCCAAAGACGTGGTGGAGCACGAAATCTAAAGTAAATGGAAAAAAATATTTAATACTAATATTAAAATTTAATTTAATTTTAAAAACTTACGCTAGCCATATTCTATCGGAAGGCGGTGGTGGCATATTTATTGTAACTCGCGATACCAAACCATGCAAATCGATACCCAAGGTAATGGTGGTACTCATGTTCTCCATGGCTCGCTGAACGTATGACAATTCCGTGGCATATTGGAAAAAATTGGAAGTAGCTATGCGATCGACAAATTTGAATATACGTCTAGCATTGCCAGGATTTGTGGAGCTGTAAAGAGATAGAAAATTTATATTTAGAAAATGTATTTTGAAGGTGTTATGTCCTTAAGAGTTTTTTTTTCAATGCTATGACACCTATGGCTAGCGTTTGAAAAGAAAAAAATATTTTTAAAAAATATACGCATATGGCTGGCCCTAGAAAAAATAGTTTTGAACCAGTAAGGAAATAAATAAAGTTGGGCCGACTATATGACACCCTTCACCATTTTGGGTATATTGTACATACGTATCCTTACAATACATGTCAATGTTCCCTCGAAGGAACACATTCATGTCTTTCTGCAACCTATGATAAATTTAATTTCATTCGGAAAGATTTAGAGTCGTCTGCGTACCATGGGACAAAATTTGTGGAAAACGATTTATAGCAAAATTGACACACAGTATTCGGTACGCCGCACTGTTAAAAATTTAATTTCAATCAGACATCCGTTCGAAATACATATGGAATCTATGGCAGCACATGTGCCAACTTCAACAAAACGCAATAACACCATTGAATTTCGTGTTAATCGAACAAATATTAGGAGTTTGGTGAATCAAATATATATGTATATGTGGGAGCTATATCGAAATCTGAACCGATTATATATATGAGAGCTATATATAAATCTGAACCAATTTTCATGAACCTTAGCACATATCACTCTAGATTTCGTTCAGTACGCTATGCCAAATTTCGTGCAAATCGAAGGTTATATAGGGACTTTGGTGCACCATTTACCTTAAATCGGACGAAAATATATATGGGAGCTATATCTAAATCTGAACCGATTTTCGGGAAACTCACCACTCATCATCCTGGACTCAATTCATTACGCTATGCCAAATTTCGTGCAAATCGAAAGATATATAGGGACTTTAGTGTACTATTTACCTAAAATCGGGCGAAACTATATATGGGAGCTACATCTAAATCTGAACCGATTTTAACGAAATTTAACACACATCATTCTAGACTTAGTTCAGTACGCTATTTCAAAATTCGCACCATTTACCTAAAATCGGGAGAAACTATATATGAGAGCTATATTTAAATCTTAACCGATTTTCACGAAACTTCGCACACGTCATTCTAGATTTAATTCAGTACGCTATGTCAAATTTTGTGCAAATCAAATGATTTTCAGAGGCTTTGGTGCACCATTTACCGTAAATCGGCCAAAACTATATATGGGAGCTATATCTAAATCTGAACCGATTTCCACGAAACTGAGCACACGTCTTTCTAGTCTTTATTCGGTACACTATACCAAATTTCGTGTGAATCGAATGATATATAGTGACTTTGGTGCACCATTTATATTAAATCGGACGAAAATATATATGGGAGCTATATCTAAATCTGAACCGATTTTTCCCAATTTCAATAGGGTTCGTCCTTGGGTCGAATAAGTGACCTATGCCAAATTTCATTCAATTCGGACTATAAATGCGACCTGTACTTTTTTTACAATTTAACATGGACAGACAGACAGACGGACGGACATGCATAAATCGACTCAGAATGTGATTCTATGCATATTCTCAAAAGGAACCATGGGTCTATCTCGATTCCTTTTGCCTGTTACAAACATATGCACAAAGACATAATACCCTGTACCACAGTGTGGTGAAGGGTACAAAAATATATTAGCCTTTGAAAAAATATATATATATATATATATATATATTTTTTTTTTTTTTTTTTTGAAAAATATAAAAAAACACACGTCTATGGCTAGCTTTTGAAAAAGTATTTTAAAAAAACACGCTAGCATTTGAAAAAAAATTTAGAAAATCCAAGTCAATGCAAACCTTTAAAAAAATACTTCTTTCTCAATGGAATTATTGTTTGTGTTGTGGTTTTACTCACCCTTCATTTACGCTATTCGGATTATCACCCAATGAACCGGATATGGAACCTTCAGATTCAGTACTTGAACTACCAGTACTTTCAGCATCACTATCATAAATTGCGCTACCCGTTGGCAAAGGTATATCTAGAGGTAAGACATCATCAGTGGGATCACGTGTTGTTCCGCCACCACCACCACCAGCAGCTGTAGCAGAAGTAGTGACACCACTTGTTCCAGCCAAATCATTATTCAATAATGTTGAATATTGTGGTGAATTAGACATTTGTGCATAATTTGAATCACCGCCCATATAATTACTGCTACGTGCTGGTCGTTTCAGACGTAACAAATTGAGTTTTGTGGTTACCGTTATCTGGCACAACCCCTCATAGGTAACATCCATATCTAACCACAGGCCACGTTCATCGAGCAGCGGCTGGGAGACACGATGCAGTAGTGGAGGTTTATCCCCCAAATCGATGTTTTTGATAATGACATCTTCCATAAAACTGGGTAACTGAAAAAGGGAGGGAACAATTTTAATTATTTTTCTAAAAATAAATTCTAGTTTTTTTCTTACCTTTATGGAATTCAATTTCTTTTGTAAAATGTCCTGCAACTTCTCCAACATTGGTTCATTTTGCAATGAACTAAAGAGTAAACGTCCCACCAAGACATTTGCCCAGACCACACTACCAGAGGGACCCAAAAACAGGGATTGATCAATACCCTTCCATAATTCATTTTCATGGCGCACGGTACGTTTATGCTGAAAATATTGGAAAATAATTGTGGAATAGTTAGTTGGATAGTTAGTTTATGTTTAAAATGTTGAATGAATTTAATACAACAAAATGATACATAAAAATAAAAAGAGAAACAAAAACAAAACATACACTTCTTTTATCACTCGATGCATGAATGACAGTTCCTTTGTAAACGGGAATACGTGATTGTCTACAAGCATTCTAAATGAAAATTAAAAAAAAAAAAAAATAAAAATAAATAAATAAAAATGAAAAATATCGAATATAAATAAAAAAATATAACAAAAAATTATATAAATTAAAAAAATTTACTTTATATATTCCAACCAGGTTTCCAAATTCACATATAAAGCAAATCCAAATATAATTAAATAAAATTCCTGCCAAGGACCAAGACTAAATACAACTCAAATCAAATAAATATTCTTGAAATAAATTATTCTTTTAAAATATATTCTGAAATAAAATCCAAGCCGAAGAGGGATATTCAAAACTATTCTTAAATAAATTCCAAGCCTTTGACTCCTTAAATAATATTCTTAAATAAATCCCGCTGATATTCCCAAAAACGTTAAGTAAAATCCATGACTCTCCTCCAAGATTATTCTTAAATAAAATCAATTTCCATCGGTCCTCCAAAACAATATTCTTAAATAAAATCCACGGCTGAAGACCCTTCCACAAATATTCTTAAATAAAATCAACTGATTTTCACAAAAATCTTAACTGAAAACCATGACTCTCCTCCAGGAATATTCTGAAATAAAAATCAATTCTCATCTGTCCTCCAAAAAAATATTCTTTAATAAAATCCTCGCCTAAAGACCCTTCCAAAAATATTCATTAATAAAATCCAATGTTCTCCCAAGAACTCTTAATCCACGACTCTATTCAAAAACTATTTTAAAATAAAGTTTTATACCTAACGGTCCTCCAAATAATATTCATAAATAAAATCCACCACTAAAGACCCAAATTCTAAATGAAAAATATTCTTAAATAAAAACTATACTCATCGGTCTTACAAAAAATATAGTTAAAGAAAATCCACACCAGAAACCATTCTAAAAATATTATGAAATTCTTAAATAGAATCCACGCCAGAAACCATTCTAAAAACATTATGAAATTCTTAAATAGAATCCACGACAGAAACCATTCTAAAAACATTATGAAATTCTTAAATAGAATCCACGACAGAAACCATTCTAAAAACATTATGAAATTCTTAAATAGAATCCACGCCTTATGAAATTCTTAAATAGAATCCACGCCTTAGGAAATTCTTAAATAGAATCCGCGCCTTATGAAATTCTTAAATAGAATCCACGCCCTATGAAATTCTTAAATAGAATCCACGCCTTATGAAATTCTTAAATAGAATCCACGCCTTATGAAATTTTTAAATATAATCCACGCCTTATGAAATTCTTAAATAGAATCCACGCCTTATGAAATTCTTAAATAGAATCCACGCCTTATGAAATTCTTAAATAGAATCCACGCCTTATGAAATTCTTAAATAGAATCCACGCCTTATGAAATTCTTAAATAGAATCCACGCCTTATGAAATTCTTAAATAGAATCCACGCCTTATGAAATTCTTAAATAGAATCCACGCCTTAGGAACTTCTTATATAGAATCCACGCCTTAGGAAGTTCTTAAATAAAATCCACGCCTTATGAAATTCTTAAATAGAATCCACACCAGAAACCATTCTAAAAATATTATGAAGTTCTTATATAGAATCCACGCCTTAGGAAGTTCTTAAATAAAATCCACGCCTTATGAAATTCTTAAATAGAATCCACACCAGAAACCATTCTTAAATAGAATCCACTTCTTATATAGAATACACGCCTTAGGAATTTCTTAAATAGAATCCACGCCTTAGGAAATTCTTAAATAGAATCCACGCCTTAGGAAATTCTTAAATAAAATCCACGCCTTAAGAAATTCTTAAAAATATTCTTAAATAAAACCCCCGCCTAAAGATAATTTCAAAAATATTCTTAAACATAATCAAAGCCTACAGACTCTTTTAAAAAATGTTCTTTAAGTAAATCCGCGCCTACAGAACATTCCGAAATTATTCTCAAATAAAAGGCTGGTCTACAGACTATTCCTAAAATATAAATTACAAAAATATTCTTAAATAAAATCCAAGACTATGGACAATTCCAAAAATATGCTTAAAAAATAAAATCCAAACCTACACCATATTTTTTTATATTATATTCATAATGTCAAAAAATATACAAATAATGATTTGTAACGAAAGGCTTAAGATATTGAAATGTTGATGCAATGTTCTGTAGATTACTAAAAAAACACATTATTATATTCCACACTTACCTGATATAACGACATAAATTTAATATAATCAGCATCATTACGGGCCGCACCCGAAGTCATTAGCAGGCCCTCTATACTATCCGAATCATCTGCCGTTACATCAACGAAATCATCTTCATTTTCAACGGGTTCATCCTTTTCGGGGGCCTAAAATAGGAAAATACAAAATAAATTGGTTAACAATTTCAAAAAAAAATTCCAAAACAAATTTCCAAATAACAAAAAAAGGCATGCGCACATCAAAATTGTCATCAATATTGAAAGTGATAGCTGATGATTGCTGTGACTCTTGTACGGTAAATTTCGCCGTCGCAATTGTTGTTGTTGAGTTCTCTCTAGGCTGTAAATTGTGATTGATATATTAATTTGAATACATGTATTGGAAATGTGTAACAAAATGTAACATAAATTAAACAGATATCAACAAGAGAGGGCGAGATAGGAAGAGACAAACAAAAAAGAAAAAAAAAAAAACAAACATTTATAAACACAGCTATTTACATCGACACACAAAACATTTTAACAAATAACTTTTTGAAAAATAAAATATAATTGAATTTTGTTTTCTATAAACCTTGGGATTGATTAGCATTTGGGCAGCCCTGGTGGCAGCTGCCTGTAAACCTTTGTCATCAACTAGCTTTACATTACTTAAATGTAAGTCCTGATCGTTGACATCGCCATTGCTGGCACACACGAAACGTCGATACCTGTTAAAAAAGAAGAAAATGGAAATTTGAAACCATTAGATCGACATCAAAAATATATGTTATTCTCTATTTACCAATCCTCTTTCTCTCTGGCTCCACGTGCAAATAATAATATGCGTACTTCATCACCACAGGGCACAGTAATTGCATTTAAATCCTCATCGGGATTTACGTCATCTTGTAATTTTTGTAACTACAAAAAAAAAATTAAAACCTTTTTTTCAAAATTGTTTACTTCATAATGTTGTTCTACTTACATCAGCATTCATTATTGTTGCTCCAAAATCGATCTCTGCCTCGGTCTTGGCACTTTCCATTTGCGTCTGCTTGGGATCCACAATTTCCTTAGTTTCTGGCTTTTCCGCCTTAACACGATGTCGACTAAATCGTCGATGTTTAGTAACTATGGGTTTTGTGACCTCGCCATTGGTACTATTTTTAGCTTCTTTATAAGGTTTCACTATCAATTGTATGGGATATTTACGATTGAAATGCCTGCACGAGAGAAGGGGGAGGAATATAAGATATTTATATAAATAGAAAAGTGTATATCAGTCTTATATGGTATGAAGGCCTTCTGAGATTGAAGATTATTAAAAACCTTAGGATTTTTAATTAAGAATAATTTTGGAAAGCCTCTAGTCTGGATTTTATCTATGACAATTTTTATAGCCACGCATTTTAATCAATTATATTTTTGTAAGCATTCATAGGGATGGAGTTTTTAAAGAATGTTTTTAGTTGTTGTTGTTATAGCAGTTATTATGTATGTATGTGTTTTTTTTTAATCTGGTTCAATTTCTAACTCCAAGTTCAAATGGTCGGTGACCTGTATGGGTTCGGTCCATAGAGAAGATGGAGTTAGTGGGCAGTTGAATAGGTGTGGCGTGTCATGTGGACTGCACTGTATCATCAATTCGCACCCAATGTGAATTGAGACGACTATACCATCCTGATCACAGTTGTGCCAGCACCACTCTCGTTTGTCGCGGTAGCTGCTGCTATCGATGACGGGTGAACTCCGAGGGTTGTATTCACTCTGTATTCTTGAATTGCTTCTTCAACTGCGGTGAATACGATTCAACCCTGCTTGATAAGCCTGCTGATCTAGAGGCTCTCTTTTATACCTCTTGACCTCTCTCTCTCTAGATCATGAAGATCCCTTTTGACGGTGGGTTAGGATGACTGCTTCTGCAGCACCTAAGCAGATATTTCATCGACAACATCCTGTTGTGTTGACGCACAGGAAGGATCTTCGTCTTCTCATGTAAGTGGTCTATCGTAGTCATTAGGAGACACCCTATTGCAGTCCTCGAGGCAGCATTTTGGCAGGATTGAATATTTTTCCATTGTGTAGCACTTACGTTGGCGGACCACACTGGAGCCACATAGTTTACCACAGACCGGCCTATTGCTTTGTAGGTTGTCATCAAGGTTTCTTTATCAGCTCCCCAAGTACGGCCGGCTAGTGACTTGAGAACCTTGTTCATGCTCCTGACCTTATCGCAAATAGCTGTGGGATGCGCGGACAACTTGTAAAGGCTATCGAATGGGACCCCTAGAACCTTGGGGTAACTTGTGGTCGGAATTATGGACAAATCGACTTGCATATTCAAGGGTAGCCTCATCTCCGCTGTCCATGTGGTAAACAGTGTGGCCCTTGACTTTGTGGTGGATATTTTCATATTCCGCGCGTGGAAAAACACTGCTAAATCAACGAGATATGCATTCAACCAATCGCATATGTCATCAATTTTGGGCCCCGACGCCATGAAAGTGCAATCATCCGCTTACGTTATGATCTCAACACCGTCAGGTGGGCGTGGTTCTATTCTATTTCACAATATTTTTTAAAGCCTCAATTTTATTAAAGAATATTTTTAAGGCATGGATTTTATAACAGAATATTTTTAGAAGGCCTCCAGGCTTGAATTTTATTAACTATTTTTGGTGGGAACAATAGGTGAGGTTTTATTTCAGAATATTTTTATAAGAACCTATAGGCGTGGTTTTTCTTTAGGAATACATTGGAAGGACTAAAAGGCGTTGGTCCTTTTTGAAAGACCCTATAAGACCTGGATTTCAGTATACCCTACACAACTATGTTGTCAGGGTATTATAGCTTTGTGCAGCCCCAAAAGTTTGCAACGCCACGAAATATTGATCCTAGACCCACCTTTAAGTATACCGATCGTCATATCTCGACTAGCTGAGTCGATCTAGACATGTGTGTCCGTCCGTCCGTCTGTCCATTATAATTTGTAAACACGATACAGGGTTCTGGTCAATGAGGACCCCTATTGTTTTTGTAAAAAGTTCGGCTAATATATAGAGGATGAACTGGACCAAATACTAAATTTTTGTCGGTTTTTCTGGTCGCTCCAGATGCCGCAGTTATGGTCCGAACATCGTGAAATTTTGCATGGAGAAGGGGATCGGGCCAAAGAATAAGCATGACTGTTTTGATAAAGATCGCTCAATATTTAGCGGGTCAAATGGACACTGACTTTTGTGTGAAAAATTACAACGTTTTTATTCTGAGGCGTATATACTTGATTCTGAAGGACATATATCCGAGAAATTGGTAGTATATCCAAGAGGAGTTGTTGGCTTTCAAATTTATGTCAATTATATGGCTGTATGTACTCTGATGTGGGAGTTATATGTAATTAGGTAAAGATGACTATGTGCATAGTATTACTATTACTCCATTAGAGGACGAAAATGTTGCGCTGATCGCTTTGAAATTGTACATAAAGTTCCAATTATGGTCAAGGACGAAGGCTATAGTTTTCGGTGAAATTGAGATTTCATTCAGGGGGTGCAATGAACCGAAAACTTTAATTTTGGCAGATTTTCAAGTCGCTCCAGAGGCAATTATTATATGCAGAACATCACATATGTTACAGGGTGAAGGGGATCTGACCAAATAATTAATTTTATCTAAAAAAACTGCAGAAGAAAGAAACATATTCTGTAGATGGAAAGCCTCCAACATGACTTTTATAAATATCTTCAAGAGGTCTTATAAAATACCACTGTCTTTCAGTATAATACATATAGAAGAACTTCAATTTATGAAATACATATATCTTCTATATGTAGGAAGATCTGAAATTCTTATTTTCTACATATAGAAGAATTTACATATTATATCTATAGAATCTTTCATGACTGAAACTTTTTTACAGATATCTTATAAGAATAAGCGCTTATTGATATATGTCGCCTACCTTTTCCTGGCTAAACCGATGGGCAACAGTTCAATGCGACAACCCAATAAATTATAACTACGGTGGGTTGTAAATATAATCGATTTACGATCTATGGGTGGTTCATTCCACATTGCACGCTTGGGTATGCGAGCATTGGTATTGGAGATATGTAAAATGGAACCTGAAACAACAACAAAAACGGGAGTAAATAAAAAAACCATGTTTGAAGTTATAACAAAAAACTCACCCTCCAATTTGATATAGACCGGGCGAGTCATAGATATGTGAAAAGTATTTGGATCATAGCTGTCCACTTCGTTCATCCAACCCTGGAAAAAATATTATTTTTTTTAATTTCTTTATAAAACAAAACAAGAAGTAATTGCCAACCTACCCCATATGACTTCACCGTTTTAAATTCCTCCACGGCCGGCACTTCACATATTGACATTTTACTATAATCGGGTACTTGGAATTTACGCTTTTCCGGTTTGATACTAATCGTAAAATATTCTATAACATTTTGTATAAATTGCCAAATAGCCTCAATGATACTAATACTAAGAATGCATGCCAGTACACCGCGTATAAAATCGTGAATGGGCAAGATGAGTATTAAGATTAAACCGAATATGGAAACCAAAGGTAGCGATTTAGCCCGATCAACAATTAATGTCATGGAATGGCGTAAATTTGAACTATGACTATTCGTGCTGGCGTTGGGGCCATTTGTTTGGGAATTCGTTGCCGTTGCCGAGCCTGTTGTTGCTGGTGAGTCATGGGAAGTTACATTGGTAATGGTGGCCGGATGTTCATAGACGACTTTAACCTCATGACCAGCTGTTGTTGTCGATGATGATGGAGTTCCCGTTGTGGTTTGAGATAGGGGTAAATCTAATTCATCACGTTTTGAATGTTTATCTTTGGAGGATGGGGTATTCTCATCGTTGTTATGTGTGGCCACTGGTGGTATCATATCTTCCAACATTTCAACACCGGATTCGATTTCAACGTCCTTTTTGGTTTTTTCACCCTCCATAATGGATTTGGAGGATGATTTCTTTGATGGTTTGCCGCTAACTACAACTGGTACAGCGGCAGCCATTTCCCCGCTGGCCACAGTGGCAGCCAATGCTGAGACTGGGGAAATATTTGTTGGTGAAGCCTGTTCAGCTGGATCGACACCTTTATTGCGACGACGCCTTAGGAAATTGCCCCTTAGGGATGTTGAGGATGAAGAGGAACCAGTACTACGACTTGGGCTGGTATCCTTTTTCACCGAGCCCCTTATGGCTGTGGGTGGTACCGTCGCTGTGCTCAATGTTGATGTCTTTTTCGCCTGATGAGCTTCATGTTTGGCTTTCACTTTCGATTTGAGATGGGCAAAACCACGTCGCAACCGAGAATGTTCTGAATCTCCTTCGAGTAGGATTTCATTTTCAAAATCTGTATCTGAATCTTCTAGTTTACTGGAACGTTTTTGTTTAGTGCTACCACCACTGCTGCGTCGATCATGTTCCATGGAGAGATCTTCACTAATGGAAGTTTTGGTTTCTTGATCCGAATCGAATTCAATTGCTGGCGTTTGTTGTTGATCACCAGCTGGGGGAGGAGAGAGAGAGATGGAATTATTTTTTTAGTTTATTTTGGAATTTTGAGCTTACCTTTAATAACCACTGTGGGATAGACTGGTGGAGTCATGGTTGTCGTTGTAAAATTACTACCCTTGGATGATTTAATGTCTTCAATTGTTTGCGATACCTTGCCTTTAATCATTTTCCATGTGCCCATAGACGTGGCATCACTTCCCGACAAAGCTTGTATTAGATTGGGACCAACCGATGTGGGTGAGACACCTTCGATGCTGCCAGATCTGGAAAAAGAATGTGATAAGAAGGGGGATTTTAGAAAAAAAAATTGCAATGAGGAAAAAATTTAATTAAACACAAATAATCCGATCCTAAGAGGCTGTTTTAAAAAATATAAAAAAAAATTAAATACAAGCCCCGAAAGTCGGGAGGTTTTTTATTTTTTTAGCTTGGAGACTTTGGGTGGTTCTGAAAATATTTTTTAAAGATCCACACTTTGAAGGTAACAAAAATTATTTAAAAAAATCCACTTTGTGTTTAGATGTCCTATTAGTTCCAGAAGTCAGATAAAAAGTTATATAAATAAGACATTTTCTCCAGAGAACCCATACAAGGTCGCATGGCTTCCGAAGTTTGGTAGAAGGTTTTCTAGCTTCACGAGTTTTTTTCCATCTCTAGAAGACCAGTAAAAGGTCTTCTATATTTGATAGATCCTTATGACTTTTATTTCAGAATATTTTTGGAAGAGCTCCTTAAGGTCTGGATTATATTTCAGAATATTTTTGGAAGAGCTCCTTAAGCTGTGAATTTTATTTAAAAACCAGTAAGGAAAGTAGTAAAGTCGGACCGGGCCGACTATATGATACCCTTCACCACTTTGGGTGTATTCAACAGATGAATCCTAACAGACGTCGCATTTTTAAAGGACCGGTAAAATGAAATTGGAATCTGAACCGATTTCAGAAAACTTAACACACATAATTTTAGACCTAATTTATTACGCTGTGCCAAATTTCGGGCAAAGATATTAAGGGACTTTGGTACACCAGATATTAAGGGACTTTGGTGTACACATTAAATCAGATATATCTAAAGGAAACTTGACACACATAATTCCACACTTAATTCAATACGCTGTGCCAAATTTCGTGCAAAGATATTAAGGGACTTTGGTACACCAGATATTAAGGGACTTTGGTGCACCATTTACATTAAATCGGCCGAAAATATATATGGGAGCTATATCTAAATCTGAACCGATTTTCAGGAAACTTAACACACATAATTCTATACCTAATTCATTACGCTGTGCCAAATTCCGTGCAAATCGAAAGATATATAGGGACTTTGGTGCACCATTTACATTAAATCGGACAAAAATATATATAGGAGCTATATCTAAATCTGAACCGATTTTCAGGAAACTTGACACACATAATTTCACACTTAATTCAATACGCTGTGCCAATTTTCGTGCAAATCGAAAGATATGAAGTCACTTTGGTCCACCATTTACATAAAATCGGACGAAGCTATATATGGGAGCTATATGTAAATCTGGACCAATTTTCAAGAAATTTAGCACACTTCATTCTATACCTAATTCATTACGCTGTGCCAAATTTAGTGCAAATCGAGAGATATATTGGGACTTTGGTGCATGATTTACATTAAATCGGGCGAAAATATATATGGGAGCCATATCTAAATCTGAACCGATTTTTCCACCGTCCTTGGGCCAAATAAGTGACCTATACCAAATTTCATCCAAATTGGATCATAAATGCGACCTGTACTTTGTTCACAAAAATACATGAACGGACGGACATGCGTAAATCGACTCAGAAAGTGATTATATGCATATTCTCGAAAGGAACCATGTGTCTATCTCGTCTCGTTTTGCCTGTTACAAACATATACACAAAGACATAATACCCTGTACCACAGTGTGGTGAAGGGTATAAAAATCCAAGTTCTGTTGACCGTGGATTTCATTGCAGAATACTTTTGAAGAGACCTATAGTTGGGGATTTTATCCAGAAATATTTTTATCAGTACCATATAGGCCTCGATTTTATTTCAGAAAAAATCGACAATTATTTTAAGAATATTGTTAGGAAACTCTTCTATGATGTAAATTTCATTTTAGATTTTTTTGTTTGGATTTTTTTGAACTGTATTTTGGGGTTGTGTCTGTGTTACTTCCCTCCCTTTCCATTATTTACAACTGCACAGTGGTTTTTTTATTCAGAAAAAATGTATTTATTAAGTGAATATTTTTCTTAGTGTTTTTTTTTTCATTTTTTTTAATAGAGTTTATATATAATCGTATTTTTTAATTAGTTTCTTTTTCATCGTTTTTTTTATATATATATTTTTTGAATGCACCAAAAGTTTACAATTTTATAATTTTTTATTTTTATTAAATATATATTTTTTTGTTTTAATTTTAGCTTTTTAAAAATTATTAACTCTTCACTATATATAGTCGTAAAGTCAAAGAAGATTTCCGTTTTTTTTTTGCAAATAGAAATATAGAGAAGAATATTGTATGTAAAATCGAAAATTTTCAGATTATGGTAGAGCGGAATATAAGAGAGAGTTTGTTTGGTAGGTTTCAAAATGGTTTCAACTATGGTTATGAGTGTTATAGTAGTTGGTATATATATATTATTTAAATTTCAATTTTTTATTGATTATTTCTTCTTTCTATTATTGTTATAAATATTGATATATTTTTGTTTGGGGGGAGTTTTTTTCTTGTTGTGAAAAATATAAATTTTATTTATTTAATTTATTTTTATTGTTGTTTTGAATTTTAATTTTAATATTTTTCAGTTTGTCTATTTTTTTATTTTGTGGATTTTTTTATATTTGTTGGCAAATCAATAAATGAAAATTGATTTTGTCTTTTATGCCATCTTTGCAGATAAATATTTGCATGTATTTATGTATGTTTTTTTATTTGTTGTTTTTTAGTTCATAAAATAAGGTGTTGTTTTTTTTTAATTTTTGTTAATGATATAATTTAATATTTCATTTAATTTTTAGTTTATAAAATAATGTATTTTTAAATTTCTGTTAATACTATTTTTTATTATTTTTCTTAAAATACATTGCTATTTATTGGATATATTCCTCAATTTAGAAAAAAATAGATATAAATTAAATTAAAAAAAATCATTTATAAATATTAAGTGAAAATAAAAATAATATTTATATATATGTTATTAAAAAAATATATACAATTTTTTTCTTATAAAAAATAGAAATAGAAAAACATACATACGCGTATAAAAGATATATATATATATATATATATATACTTAAAATAATATTTTAAAATACCTTAAAATGAAAAAAAAATATATTTTAATGTTCCCCTATAAAAAAAACTCCATATGAAAAATATTATTATTTTTTATATAATTTTTATATAAATTTATTTTCTATTTTTCTAATTATTCTGCTTAAAATATTTATATTTTAATTTGAAATTTTGTTTAAATATTTTGCTAAAGGAATCATTTTGTAAGGGTATTTCATTTTAATTAATTTCTAATTTTCCTTAATTTTTATTATATTATTTTTTTAATATTTGTTTTTAATTTTTGTTTGTGTTGTTTTTTCTAATGGAAGGATGTGTTTGATTTCTTTTTTTTTATTTTTGCGAATTATGTTTAACTTAAAATTAAGTGATTTTTTTATTAAAAATATATATATTTTTTCATATATAAATAAAATCGATTTTAGGTACTATATGAAGAATTTTTAATTAATTTGTGATTTTGTTAATTGTCTACTCTATAAAAAGAAAAGGACACACAAAACATTTTTATTAGAAGTCTTTAGAAGGATATTAAAAAAAAAATAAGAAAATTGGTATGAAATATGAAGAAGAAATTCTTCGTCTTGAAAATTTTCTAATTCTATAATAATTATAATATCTAATTTTTATAAACATATTTTTATTTTGTAAGAATAGAGAAAAAATAAAAAACAGTGAGCGGAGCAGAATAGTCGGACGCGGCCGACCATACGATACCCTACACAACTACCACGGAACTCTATCTTTCCGAGCCTGGGTAATATTTCGTGATAGTTGCACCCTCTTGCCCGATTAGGGGTCAACAACACCTCTTCCTTACACTGACATATTTTACGAACATTACCAATATTCAATACAGCCCTTCTAATTACTTGTCCGTGGGTTGTGTTGTGATGTTCGGCTTATAACCACCTGTAAATATTTATGTGTAACTCCCACATCCCACGACAATATATTTGGTATCGATTTAAAGGTCAAGCACTCCTCTTCGATATACTATCAACTTCTCAGCTCTATGTCCTTCAGGAGGAAATATATACGGTATAGAATACAAATTTTGTCATTTTTCACAAAAAAGTGTCCATTTGGCCCATTAAATATTTGCCGATCTTTATCAAAAACATGCATGCTTATTCTTTGACCTTATCCCCTTCTCCATGTAAAATTTCACGATGATCGGACCATAACTGCGGCCTCTGGAGCGACCAGAAAAACCGATAAAAATAAAGTTTTTGGTCCATTTCATCCCCTAAATATAACAATAGGGGTCTTCATTGACCGGAACCTAACCTATATGCAAAATTTCGTGAAGATTGGTCTATAACTGTGGCCTGTATCGTGCTTACAAATTATAATGGACGGACGGACGGACATACATGTCTAGATCGATTCAGCTAGTCGAGATATACGGTATATACGGTATACTTAAAGACCAATATTTCGCGACGTTACAAACTCTTGGAGCTACACAAAGCTATAATACCCTGACAACATAGTTGTGTAAGGTATAAAAATAGAAAAAAGATTTTTATTTAGTATTTATACCCTACACAACTATGTTGTCAGGGTATTATAGCTTTGTGCAGCCCCAATAGTTTGTAACGCCGCGAAATATTGGTCCTAGACCCACCTTTAAGTATACCGATCGTCATATCTCAACTAGCTGAGTCGATCTAGACATGTGTGTCCGTCCGTCTGTCTATTATAATTTGTAAACACGATACAGGCCACAGTTATGGACCAATCTTCACGAAATTTTGCATGAAGGATGGGTTCTGGCCAATGAAGACCCCTATTGTTTTTGGTGAAGATCGGTTAATATTTAGGAGATGAAATGGACCAAATACTAAATTTTTGTCGGTTTTTTGGTCGCTCCAGAGGCCGCAATTATGGCCCGAACATCGTGAAATTTTACATGGAGTAGGGGATCGGGCCAAAGAATTAGCATGCCTGTTT